CTTATACGAACTCCAATAATTTCCCTTATCCGCGGCATCCCTAATGTGATCAGCTCTTACCTCATGGACGCGAGTCATAGTACCTCCACTGCATTCGCCCTCCGCACTGTTTTTCCTCATCAACCCTTCCCTTGCACTTAATTATCCCGTAATTGTCGGTCTGCTTCTGCAGGTAGCTACTTTGTCCTGACTAATTGTGTACTATCGAAAGCATTGCTGCAATGAAACGAAGTTTGTCATATGTCGTGGAATCGAAATCTAAAAGAGGAAACCCGTTTCCCATATGTGGCTTGAGACAGGAACTTTTGTCGTGAAGCGGATCAAAGGGTTGCTGCATGGACCCTGTATTCTGATCGTCGTATGCGAGGTGGCCGCTGCATTTCCTTACGTTTGTCCCTGGAAGCCGTCTTGAAGTGCAGGGCTCAACCCAGTCTGCTGACTTTGTCGATCACTACCTTGTGGTCAAGAGTGTGTTAGCATCGAGGAATTAGGCTTCTTTTCTACGATCCCACACCTTCAATAACCGAGACAAATAAGCGAAGGGTCGAGAGGGGCGTTCGGGACTCGTGTTGTGAGAAGACGGAGAAAGCCTCTTTTCGGCCCAGATATATCTAGATTCGTTACTATGTTATAGCCTTGGGCTAGATTCCGTAGGTCGTGATGGAATTATAAGAACCATAGGGCAAGATGGACCATCAGGTAACATGTTGAAGCCACGTCTCTAGAAGGTAAGACGAGATCTCCATCAGATGGGTTGCTCCATCCAAAAGAACTATATCGCCAAAGGGTCAAGAATTCGTTGAAGAGGCCGGTGTCCTGGTCGACACTGAAGATGTGAGTGATAAGGCATCAATCGTTACCCTTATGAACTGTATTGATGTTTGTAGTGAAGTGAATACACTCTCAGTACCTTACATAGATGTGGATATGCGCACGATATGCTGGCACCGTTAACAGTATCGACCTTCTTACTTCTGTAAGCCTCTTTCGTGGAGCAGAAAAGTGGAGTTATAAGC